ATTTTACTTTAAGTTCTGGATACATGTGCAGAACATGCAGGTTTGTTACAGAGGTACACATGCGCCATGGTGGTTTGCTGCACCTATCAACCCATCATCTAGGTTTTAAGCCCCAAATACATTAGGTATCTGTCCTAATGTTCTCATTCCCCCTTGATCCCCACCCCTCTACAGGCCCTGGCGTATGATGTTCCCCTCTCTGTGACCATGTGTTCACATTGTTCAACTCCCTCTTATGAGTGAAAACGTGCAGTATTTGGTTTTCTGTTCCTGTGTTAGTTTGCTGAGAATGATGGTTTCCAGCTTTATCCATGTCCCTGCAAAGGACATGAACTCATTCTTTTTTACTGCTGCATAGTATTCCATGGTATATGTGTGCCACATTTTCTTTATCCAGCCTATCATTGATGGCATTTGGGTTGGCCCCAAGTCTTTGCTATTGTAAATAGTGCTGCAGTAAACACACGTGTGCATGTGTCTTTATAGTACAATAATTTATAATTCCTTAGGTATATACCCACTAATTGGATTGCTGGGTCAAATGGTATTTCTGGTTCTAGATCCTTGAAGAATCGCCACGCTGTCTTCCACAAAGATTGAACTAATTTACATTCCCACCAACAGTATAAAAGCATTCGTATTTCTCCACAGCCTAGCCAGCATCTGTTTTTTCCTGACTTTTTAATAATTGCCATTCTAACTGGTGTTGAGATCGTATCTCATTGTGGTTTTGATTTGCATTTCTCTAGTGACCAGTGATGATGAGCTTTTCTTTATTTGTTTGTTGACTACATAAATGTCCTCTTTTGAGAAGTATCTGTTCATATCCTTTGCCCACTTTTTGATGGGGTAGTTTCATTTTTTCTTGTAAATTTGTTTAAGTTCCTTGTAGATTCTGGATATTAGACCTTTCTCAGATGGGTAGATTGCCAAAATTTTACCCCATTCTGTAGGTTGCCTGTTCACTCTGATGATAGTTTCTTTTGCTGTGCAGAGAGCTCTTTAGTTTGACTACATCCCATTTGCCAGTTTTGGCTTTTGTTGCAATTGTTTTTGGTGTTTTAGTCATGAAATCTTTGCCTATGCCTGTGTCCTGAATGGTATTTCCTATTGCCTGGGTTTTCTTCTAGGGATTTTGTGTGTGTGTGTGTGTGTGTGTGTGTGCACGCACGCGTGAGCACACTTTATTCAACTGGTCTCAGGTCAGTGTACAGGTAAGCCCTGGCTGCCTCCACCCACTTCCAGGGAGACCAAAAGCCTTCATACATCTCAAGTTCAGGGACAAAATGGGGATAGCCACAGAGGCTAAAATCTTTCAAAATAAAACAAAATAAAAAAGTATTAAGGTGAAATTTTAAAATTTTTTCATTACATAATTTACACAAAAGGAATGCTATTACCTCCCCTGTGTGGACTCGGGAGAGGACTGGGCCATTGTCCTTAGAGAGAAGTGGAGTGGCATTTGGGAGGGCAAGGGACTTCCTGTAACAATGCATTTCGCAATATTTGGAATGATTTTTTAAAAAAGAGCCATGTACAATCAAGTCCTCGGCCACACTGTAGAACTTTGGGGGATGCTCGCTCCAAACAACTGCTGTCGCTTTCACTGTTCCAGTTTTTAAATCCTGAGTCAAGCCAAAAAAACAAAACAAAACAAAAAAACAAATAAAGCCATGCCAATCTCATCTTGTTTTCTGTGCAAGTTAGGTTTTGTCAAGGAAGGGTGTAATGCAACTAAGTCACAGTCTTCCTAGAGGCATTTGCAGCGGACGATAGAGGGGCCAGACTCGACGTACTCCTGCTTGCTGATCCACATCTGTTGGAAGGTGGACAGCGAGGACAGGATGGAGCTGCCGATCCACACAGAGTACTTGCGTTCAGGAGGAGCAATGATCTTGATCTTCATCGTGCTGGATGCCAGAGCAGTGATCTCCTTCTACATCCTGTCGGCGATACCAGGGTACATGGTGGTACTGCCAGACAGCAATGTGTTGGCATACAGGTCTTTGCAGATGTCCACGTCACATTTCATGATGGAGTTGAAAGTAGTTTCACAGATGCCACAAGATGCCATGCCCAGGAAGGAAGGCTGGAAGAGTGCCTCAGGGCAGTGGAATCACTCATTGCCGGTGGTGATGACCCGGCAGTCAGGCATTTCAAAGCTGTTCTCCAGGGAAGAGCTGGAGGCCACCGTGGCCATCTCCTGCTCGAAGTCCAGGGCGACGTAGCACAGCTTCTCTTTGATGTCACGCAAGATTTCTCACTCAGCCGTGGTGGTGAAGCTGTAGCCACTCTCGGTGAGGATCTTCATGAGGCGGTCAGTCAGATCCCGGCCAGCCAGGTCCAGAAAGAGGCATGGGGGAGGGCGTACCCCTCATAGATGGGCATAGTATGGGTGACCCCATCACCGGAGTCCATCACAATGCCAGTGGTACGGACAGAGGCATAAAAGGACAGCACAGCCTGGATGGCCACGTATATGGCTGGGGTGTTGAAGGTCTCAAACATGATCTGAGTCATCTTCTCACACTGGGCCTTGCGGTTCAGGGGGCCTCCATCAGCAGCACGGGGTGCTCCTCAGGAGCCACATGCAGCTCACTGTAGAAAGTGTGGTGCCAGATCTTCTCCATGTCATCCCAGTTGGTGACAATGCCGTGCTCGATGGGGTACTTCAGGGTCAGGATGCCTCTCTTGCTCTGGGCCTCATCCCCCACATAGGAGTCCTTCTGTCCCATGCCTACCATCATGCCCTGGTGCCTGGGGTGCCCCACGATGGAGGGGAAGACAGCCCAGGGATCATCGTCGCCCACGAAGCCAGCCTTGCACATGCGGGAACAGCTGTCGACTACAAGTGCGGCGATATCATCATCCATGGTGAGCTGGCAGTGGATGTGGACCAGCGGGGTGGGGCGGTGAGGGTGGGGCTCTGTGCTCAGGGGGTGGCCGCGGTCTCTATTCCAGGATTTTTATGGTTTTGGGTTTTACATTTGTCTTTAATCCATCTTGAGTTAATTTTTGTATGAGGTGTAAGGAAGGTGTCCAGTTTCTGTTGGTGCTCTACACGTTCAGAGAAACTTTTCTAGTAACAAGCTATAGAAATGATCCCTGAAAGCATAGTCTTCATGGTGTCCTTTCAAAGCAGTAGTTTCTTGATCCTGTTTTTTTGTTTGTTTTGTTTTGTTTTGTTTGAGATAGACTCTCACTCTGTCCCCTGGGCTGGAATGCAGTATCATGATCTTGGCTCACTGCAACCCCTGCCTCTGAGGTTCACACAATTCTCATGCCTCAGCCTCTTGAGTAGCTGGGATGCTGGGATTACAGGCACATGCCATCATGCCTGGCTAATTTTTTGTATTTTTAGTAGAGACAGGGTTTTGCCATGTTGGCCAGGCTGGTCTTGAACCCCTAGCCTCAAGTGATCTTCCTTCCTCAGCCTCCCAAAGTGCTGGGATTTCAGGTGTGAGCCACCGAGCCTGGCCAGATACTATCTTTTCTATCAAAAGTTGTCACTTTTGTTTTTCAGGCTCCAGGGAGTTCGAGATAACCCAGATGGAAGCTCAGATGATAATGGCTAATTATGACCTTCAATGGAAACATATTGGCTTCAAAACCAAAAGTTCAGGTAGTGAGAATTTCAGGCCAATAGGAGAGATCGGGGCAGGGTCGTCCAACTCCCCTCAGATGATTCCATCTACAGGGCTGACCATGGTTGGGGAAAATCCTTTAGGAAACCATAGGCCAAATTATACAAAGGAAAATGTAGAATGTGGCTAGAGGGTACTCTATGCCCTTTTGTGTCCTGGTCCCTGTTTTCCTTCCTCCCCTGAGGAAACGCAGAGATGTTTTTGAAATGTAATTCTAGATAACTCAGGCTATTGAGTTGCATTTCATCTGGCAGTTCATACAGACTGCATGAGCCAGCATAAAGGAAGACTGGTGTGGGGGAGGGAGGGAGGGGACAAAGGAAGGTGGTGACAAGAGGAGCTTTTGGAGACAAAGACCTGCAAATCTGGACCCAGCAGGTTCAGTTTCTGAGTCCAATATCCATCTGAAGGCCAAGAACATCGCCAACAACCCTATGGTAATTTCCAGCCTTTCCTGATTGCCTTGGCCAGTGCCCACTATGACTCTCATTTCTAGGCATTTCACTGCTTACAGAGTGCTTCCCAGAAAGAGTCCCGCAGTGGCCCTGGGACAAGTCTTCCACTATTGATGTGCCAATTACACAGATTAATACACTGAGGTTGAGAAGTCCAGAGATTTGCCTAACATGGCTCTGTGAGTGAGAACTGGGAATTCACTCTAGGACTGCCCATTCTAAAACCAGTCCTCTACCACCTGCTCTTCCTTCTCCATTGCCATGGTCAAATGATGATCAAGAATTTTCTTTGATTTATTTAGTTGATGTCCTCTCAGCATCTACTATGAACAAGCACCTGGTACCAAACAATGTCAGAAAATAAAAAGATAGGGAGAAAAATGTCCCCTTCTCTCAAATTACAAACAAGAGAGATTTTGAAATAGCAGGGCAGAGCCTTCTGACCTATGTGCTTTCATAAGCAACTATAAACTCCACTCTCCTTCAGACCGTTGCCCTACAGTCAGTCAGTCATTCAACAAATGTGTATTGAGTATCTGCCCTGTGTCAGGCCCTGTCCTGGGTGCTGAGGTTACAATGGGGACAGGGCAGTTAAGGTCCTTGTTTTCAAGAAGCTTATATTCTAGAGAAGGAAGATAATCTAGAAACAAAGAAAATAAGTGTATGTTGAAACTAAAACCAATGCAAACATAGCTTCTCTTGGGAAAAAAGAAGCTCAGATCATATGAATGTCAGGCTGAGCTTCCCAAATCAACCTACAACCTTCTAAATTAATACCAAGCATTGGTTCTCTACCAGATCATATAAAAACAAATCTTTTTATTACAAAACTGCCAAAAAATATATATATGAAAGCTCAGTCAAGAGTCAGACTTGGAAGGACTTTTGCAAGACCTAAAGAAAGATGGTGTTACTAATAAACCACAGCCCCATCTTCAAGGCTTGATGGATGCAGAGCCTGATAAAAGAGCAGATTTCATTCACATGGGAATGAGCTGGGAAGACGACATTATCATTATGACTTCAGGGTCAAATTGGAGCCTCTTGCAAATCAAAATTAAATTATGCTTTTAGTATTTCAAGCAAGAAGTTCAGATTCCAGGATATCAATATGTGTTTGTTCACATGTGGCTTTTATATTTCAAAAGATAATACCGTCTGAAATCAGCCCAGCCCACCTCACAGTGTTCTCTCTTTGAACCTAACGCATCTGACATCCACTGTGCTTGCTGGGCAATTAACCACACACCACCCGTGAACTTGAATTGTCTTTTATTGTTCTTTATCTCTTCCAGTGTTGAACTTATGCAATGATGATTCATCCACCAACTGGTTCACGGGGATCACAGCTGATCCTCACACTTTTTTAACCTTGAACAAGGACAAGCCTTCATTAAATCCACAATTTGTTGAACACCTACTATGTACTGGTCACATCATTAGACACTGGGGACAGGTAGAAATACATCTTCTTGGACATTACAGTCTAGAGGAAGGAAGAGACATTAGCCATCACTAAAATGAATCTAATGTGACAGACCAAAACAAACGCAATGAAGGAAAAGAACTCAGTTCTGTAAGAATGGCTCACATTTGGGAAACCAGATCTGGACTAGAGGGAATCAAAGGATTCCTAAGGAGGTGAAACTGTCACTGAGATGGAAAGCAGAGGAAGAAAAATACCCAAAGACCCTGGGCAGGAGGAAACATGGGCCCATACATGCACTGTGCACAAATCTGCACTGCAAACTGCCATTGGGGCCAGAGCAAAGAAAGCAAGGTGGGGAGTCAGGCAAGAGACTTAGGCGAGTTCTTGCAGAACTCTCTTACAAGCAATGGGAAGCCACTGAGGGATAGGCAACACAGAGCAACATGATCAAATTTGCATATTGGAAAGGTCTCCTGACAGCAGCATGGAGCAGACTCCTCTAACCATCTGACTACACACCCTTACAAGTGGTAAGGTTTTGAGTGCACACCTCTGGTTTATGTAAATGTATGTGTTTTTATAAGTGTGTATGTGTATACACTGCATAGTTTATGTACATTATAAAACATACAAGTATAGAAATTGTTTTAAAGGGAGCTAACAAAAAATATTTTTTGAAGTCTTAACAAAGTGTTGATAACTGTTGAAGTTGAGCAATAGGCACATGAGGGGTCATAATTTAAATTAATTAATTTTTTTGAGACAGGATCTTGTACTTTCACCCAGGTTGGAGTGCAGTGGTTTCACCCCGGTTGGAGTGCAGTGGTTTCACCCCGGCTGGAGTGCAATGGTTTCACCCGGGCTGGAGTGCAGTGGTTTCACCCGGGCTACAGTGCAGTGGTTTCACCCAAGCTGCAGTGCAGTGGTTTCACCCGGGCTGAATGCAGTGGTTTCACCCGGGCTGAATGCAGTGGTTTCACCCAGGCTACAGTGCAATGGTTTCACCCGGGCTACAGTGCAATGGTTTCACCCGGGCTACAGTGCAGTGGTTTCACCCGGGCTGGAGTGCAGTGGTTTCACCCAGGCTACAGTGCAGTGGTTTCACCCAGGCTGAATGCAGTGGTTTCACCAGGGCTGAACTATATAACTCACTGCATTGATCTCCTGGGCTCAAGTGATCTTCCCACTTCAGCCTCCTGAGCAGCTGGGACTACAGGCATCTACCATCATGCCCAGCTAAATTTTTTTATTTTTATTTTTTGTTGTTGAGAAAGGGTCTTGCTACGTTTCCTAGCCTGGTCTCATACACTCATCCCCAAGCAGTCCTCCCACCTTGGCCTCTTAAAGTGTTAGGATTACAGGCTGAGCCACCATGCCCAGCCTCATGATTGTATTTTCTATTTTATGTGTGTTTGAACATGTCCCCAGTAAAATGATTTTAAGTCTTGAAAAATTTGACTTCATGTTATCATTAGTCATACGTCACTAAGGACATTATATACTTAGAGTAAGAGTTGTTACTAATAAACAATAGTACATATTTGTCCATATTTCATCCCATATTTTTGATTAGCTTGTTGTGCCCCTTTGTTTACCTTTAGTATTCATCATGCTTAATGTTCTGAGAAATGTGTCGTTTGGCCATTTTGTGGTCGAACGTCAAAGAGTATACTCACGTATACCTGAATGTTGCAGCCTACTGCACACCTAGGTACAAACCTGTATCGCAGGCTACTGTAAGCAATTGCAACACAATGATATTTGTGTATCTAAACACAGAAAAGGTAATGCATTGCACTACTACGTTACAACAGCTATGACTTCACCAGGTGACAGGAATTTTTGAGCTCCATTATAGTTTTTGGTTTCGGGGGTGGGGGTTTTGTTTGTTTTTGTTTTTGTTTTTGTGAGACAAAGTCTCACTCTATTGCCCAGGCTGGAGCACAGTGGCACCATCTCAGCTCAATGCAACCCCTGCCTCCCGGGTTCAAGCGATTTTCACACCTCAGCCTCCTGAGTAGCTGAGACTACAGGTGCACGCCACCACACCCTGCTCACGTTTGCATTTTTAGTAAAGACGGGATTTTGCCATGTTGGCTAGGCTAGTCTTGAACTCCTGCCTCAGGTGACCTGCTCACCTCAGCCTCCCAAAGTGCTGGGATTACAGGCATGAGCCACAATGCCTGGTCCATTATAGTTTTATGGAACACTGTCACTGTCACGATCATATATACCACCCATCGTTGACTAAAGCATTATTATGCATAGCATAATTGTATCTTTCATCTTCAAAAAGGATGCAGGAATCCTTTTAGCTTGCTAATCTATCTTTTGGAAGTTTTTTTAATTGGAACTACTTAATGTAATCCATAAACAGCATTCTCCTGGAGAAGACACAAGCTGCAGTTCACTGCAACACACCGAGAGCAAACAAAACCACGCAGGCTGCCTCAGAACATGGTCATGTTCTGGAGCCCCGGGATACCCAGATACCCCTTGAATCAAATGTGGCATTAGATTGGCTAACAGAAGAATTGGGCAAGGAGCCACAGTCAAGCCAGTCATTGAATGTCACGAAAGCTTGCTTGCTTTCTTAATTTTACTTAACGTAAACAAAAATCAAAATTCTAATGGCTTCTGCCTGCACACCAATGGATCATATTGTGTGCAAATTCTTGGAGATACTGCAGTGCATACTGGATTGACACTGAGGGGCCCAGAGGAGACACGCAGGAGGCTGCTGCAATAGGCAGTGGAGCAATGACGGAGGCGGTGGGACTGATGGGAAGAGAAGTAGAGATTCGAGAGCTGTTTAGAAGCACCGCACGACTCAATGCTGGATTCAAAACAGGGGGCAAAGAGGAGAGAGACACAAGGGTACTCCAACGTTTCTGTCTTGCACAGATAATTGCGTCTTATACCAAAAAAATTTATTTAAATGTTGAATTAAATGTTTAATTTTATCAACATAAAATTAAAACCAGTTTGTGCTATTTAAATGGACTGTCTTGCTAACTGTGCTTACTGTGATATTTTCTCTGCTTTGTTTTGTTTGTTTGTTTGTGTTTGAGATGGAGATTCTCTCTGTCACACAGGCTGGAGTGCACTGGTGTGATCTTGGCTCATTGCAACCTCCGCCTCCCAGGTTCAAGCAATTATCCTGCCTCAGCCTCCAAAGTAGCTGGAATTACAGGTGCCCACCATCACGACTGGGTAATTTTGTATTTTTAGTAAAGACAGGTTTCGCCATTTTGTACAGGCTGGTCTCGAACTCCTGACCTCAGGCGATCCGCTTGCCTTGTCCTCCCAAAGTGCTGGCATTACAGCCATGAGCCACTGCACCCTCTGCTTTGATTTTTAAGCCATTCTACTTTAGAGAGAGTGCAGATGGTTTCCACTTAGCTAATCTTACCTGTGGGAAGCTTTTGATTTTGAACCCTGAGCCCAGGTAGAGTCTCAGAAACAATAAAGCTTCACAGTATCCGACCTGCCCGTCCAAGCTCATACAGTGTGGCCCACACCCCAGGGGCTTTGATTCCTCCTTCCCACCACCAAGAAGCAGCTCCTTCGGGCCTAGATTCCCTGGCAGGAAGTCCTCCCAGTGAGAACACATCACATCTCCAGCCGTGGGCAAGAGGAGCCCAGGGCCTGGGCCAAGCAGAGAATCATCTTCTGTGGGTTTACTGTTGGGGCACCGGGAAGACCCAGCCCCAAGATCCAAATTCTATCTCCTATCCCCCTGGCACTGTTACCTGACGCTCCACCCCACCGCCCTGGGAAATGAATTACTTTGCATTAAATATCATTTCCCAGGCATTACTCTCAGGAGTAATGTTTTACTCCTGAGAGGAATAACATATTATCACTGTCACCTTAATGTGAGTGGATTTAGCAGATGACTTTTCCCAGAGTCAGGAAAAGCCCAGTTTCTTAGTCCATTTTCTGCTGCTGTAACAGAATGCCACAGACTGGGCAACTTCTAAAGAATAGAAGTTTATTGACATCCTAGCCTGCAAACACATATGCACACCTTCAAAAAAAAAAAAAAAAGAATAGAAGTTTATATGGCTCACAGTGCTGTAGGCTGGGACGGCCCAGAGATGGTGCCAGCATCGGGCAAGGGTCATGCCATGGCAGAAGACACCACATGGCAAGCAAGTGCACCAGACACAGAGAAAAATGGGGCTGAACTCACCCTTTTTATCAGGGGCCCACTCCAGAAATAACTAACCCACTCCCATCATAATGCGATTAATCCAGTTATGAGGGCAAAGTCCCCATGGCCTAATTAGCTCTTACTACTGTTATAATGGTAATTTGGGTTTTTTAAATTTATTTCATTTTTCTATACATTATTGGGTACAGGCGGTATTTGATTACATAAGTTCTACAGTGGAGATCTGTGAGGTGCAACCATCACCTGAGCAGTATGCACGGCACCAAATTTGTAGCGTTTTATCCCTCACCCCCCCACCAAGTCCCCACCATCCATTGTATCATTCTATGCCTGACAATTAAGTTTTCAACACATAAACTTTCAGGGAACACATTGAGGGTCTCAGAACTCTGTATGTCCAGCAAACATGGAAACTAGCATGCAGGGAAGCTCCTGCTACAAATACCACTAACGTGCCCTTCCTTTATCTCCAAGTTTCAAGGGGTAGACAGACAGAGAGGACCCCTTCCTTCACAGAGCTCATTCTCCCAACTAGGGAGATCACGAGGTTATAGAAGGGAAACGAGGGGTGGGGAGGGGAAAACAATGACAATATTGCTAAAGATTTTAAAAGCCTAATTTACTGAGCAATTCTGTGTGCCTGGAACTTGGAAATATACTTTGCTGGCAAAGTCTCAGGTACTCCTTACTCCAGCTCCATGAGGTAGGTAACTCTTATTGCCTACATTTTACAGATGATTAAAGAACAGAGAGGTTAAGTACTTGCTTAAAGTCACATGGTATGAGTGATGAAGCCAAGAGTATATTTAAGATAGCAGGGTTTAAAAAAAAAAACTGCCCCAAGAATTGAGAGCAGGACCTTGGGTGGCCTCAGAGCCTCAGTTTCCTATTCCATAAAATGAGAGACAGGTTGATCTCAGGGCTCCTCCCAGCTCAAACATCCTACAAATCTATGGAGACATAATTATCCCATCCAGCCAGACACTGTCTTGAACAAAGTGTAATTAACAGCACTTTGTGCTAGCAAGGAATAGACACAGTTTTCAGGAGGCAACCAGGTGTTAGGATGACTATCTTTTTTTCATTCTTTAATTAAAAATGACAAAGTTACTCTAGCACTAATAAGATCAATACCTGGGCATTCAAAGGGTTGGGTGGAAAAAGAACTATCAACCTACTGAGTGGATGGGGAAATCTGAAGTCGTGCTGTTGTGTTATGACACTGTGTTGCTGTAACCAAGGCTTGGGGAGGCTTAGTGCTTCAGCTGTTCCATCAGCTGGGAACTATTCATATTTCTCAATTCTCAGAGTTACTGTGCCTTAAGCAGAATTATTTTCCACAAAGACACTTAACAGGTGGCCTAGAGTCCCTGTTTGGTGCCCAGGACAGTCATAATAATCAGTCCTTACTGCAGACAACTTTTCAGAAGAGGAAGTGCCTTTCTTTATAAACTGGAGGAGACTTCCTCTGGGACCTGCCTCTTGTTGATTTCTCTTAAGCCTACTTTTATCATTCTGGGGAAGCTCCATGAATAAGCTGCTCCCGGCTGTGGCTATGGGCTCACAAATCTCATGTCAACACTTAATAAGAACGCCACCTTGGTTATGTCACCTAACACCTCCAAACCTCAGCCTCCTCACCTGGAAAATTGAGATGTTACGTTGGTGCAAAAGTAATTGCCATTTTTGCCATTGTACTTTACAGGGTCACTGACAATATTAATTAGGGGATTTTTTATATGAGAATATGACTAGCATAGGGTTTGTATACATTAGGTATTGCATAAGCATGTGTTAAATCTAAATGGTAAGTTGCAAATCTCACAGCCTGGAAGAGGAAAGTTCAAGATTTTATGTCACACAGAGGAAAGTTATTTTGGAACTCTGGCCTCCAAAAGTCATTAGAAATTTAATTCCATTTATTCAGCCAGTCTTTATTGAGTACCGACTGTGTACCAGTCACTGTTCAAGGCATTGAGGATACAGAGATGAACACAACAGGCAAGAATGTGCTCACATGGCACTTAATGTAAGCTACTTGGAAATTTCAAAAGTTTAAATCCACTTAGAGACAACAGTATCAGATAAAGCTATTAGGTCATTTTTAAAAAACCCATCTCAGGCTGGGCACAGTGGCTCACACCTGCAGTCCCGGCACTTTGGGAGGACAAGGTGGTCAGATCACCTGAGGTCAGGAGTTTGAGACCACCCTGGCCAACATGGCAAAACCCCGTCTATACTAAAAATACAAAAATTAGCCTGGCATAGTTGCACACACTTGTAATCCCAGCTACTTAGGAGGCTGAGGTGGGAGAATCGCTTGAACCCGGGAGGCAGAGATTGCGGTGAGCTGAGATCGCACCACTGCACTCCAGCCTGAGTGACAGAGTGAGACTGCCTCTCCAATAAAAACAAAACAAAAACAAAAACAAAAAAAAACACAAAACAAAAACCTCCTCTAGCCTCTAAGCTTGGCTTCAGCAAAGGGCAGCCACATGCTGTTACAACACTTTTCTTGGTGGCCCTGTCAAAGAGCAAATTCCTGGGCTGGAAGGATGATACTCTCACCCAGTGTGACATTTCCTATGTCCTCAGGTATCCTTTCTGGCTTTAGTGGACAGGCAGCGTGGCCTAGCACAGCCTCTCTTTCCCAACATGTGTTCCTCAAGGCATAACTAGGTGAGCAATGGAAACATCCACAAAGTTCAAGCAATAATGAATTGAACCAAGTTAAACAGGTTTCTCTGCCGCAGACCTTCTCTGAGACTTTAGCAAGCTAAGGTGCTTATGAATCTCCAAGAAAGAATTTGCAATGTGAAGCCTTCACACATTGGTTTGACCATGGAACGTTCTTTATTCCAGAGGAATATGGTTCTTTTATTTATTTTATTTTTATTTAATTTTGAGATAGAGTCTCATTCTGTTACCCAGGCTGGAGTGCAGTGGCACAATCTCGGCTCACTGCAACCTCTGCTTCCTGGGTTCAAGCAATTCTCGTGTCTCAATCTCCCGAGTAGCTAGGACTACAGGCATGCACCACCATGCTCAGCTAATTTTGTATTTTTAGTATAGATGGGGTTTCACCATGTTGGCCAGGCTGGTCTTGAACTCCTGACCCCAGGTGATCCACCCACCTTAGCCTCCCAAAGTGCTGGGACTACAGGCATGAGCCACCATGCCCGGTCAGAATGGGATTCTTTATTCTAGCACGTTCTTCATTCCAGAGCAAGAGCCCCCGAAGTTCTCTTTCAAAAGGAAGACTTTTTCAACAGCACACATTTGCAGGCTTGGAAAGAAGTCCGGCGCCCCAAGTTCTGGTCCTAGTACGACACTGACTTACTGTATGACCTCGAGTAGGTCAACTCACCTCCCTAGGGCATAGTTTCCTCAGCTAGGAAATGTGTTTGTGCTGTTAAGGTGGGCTAGGAAGGTAATAAAGAGGAGGGAGGAGGCTGAACTACATCTCCTCAAGGGTCTCCTTTAGGAGGAAGACTTTATCATCAGGGAGGCCACCTACCTCCTGGTGTACAAGCAAGCTCAAGACGTTCCACTGGCCTGTTGAATTCAGAGATCCCTCACCACCAGGACGCTGTGTTCGACAGGGCTGCATTCTCCATCCCGAGGAGAAACTCCTACTCCTCCCCTTCAAACCTATGAGAGCCTCTCCATCCCATTGCCTGCTAGTTCTCCAAAGCCCCTCCGTAGCCTGTGCCATCAGCAAAGAGGAGCCTTTGAGATGTTACCACGAAGCAAGAGTCAGCACAGTCCCATCTGAACTGTTTCTAGAAGTCCAGGTGAAAACTGTACAAATAGTATTCACATTTCTGGCAGGACCAACCACGTACAAATCATACATTGATCTCTCCTGTTGAGAGAGCTCTCACTCTATGCATAGATAACTATGAAAATAAATATAGAAAGAGATCATCTAGAGTAAGTACAGCCAATACAATAAAATATTAACAGTGGTTTTCTTTGGGTTATAGAACAAACCATGGCTAATGTTTTATTACTTAAAATATTATTTAAATGTTTCTGCATTCCCTAAATGGCCTTTAATGAGCAGGTATTATTTTGATGATGCAAAAACAAAACTAGCGCCTCCCCTCCCCGCATTGCAAAAGTCATCTAGTGCAGGTTTGAGTGTGGGAGAAACCAGCCAGCATTTTGTCAGGTTGCCCCAGCAAGAGCCCTCTGTGTTCCTGTCTCCCATTACTTTGGCTGACTTCCCCAATTCCTAATTTTCAACACCAACACCCAATGAGTTTTTAATAGCTCCTCAACTGAGTTCCCGGCATTTCCCTGCAACCTCCTGCTATCGGCTTGTGCAGGCCCCAAGGCCTCAGAGTGGCCACATGTAGTTGTGCAGATTGTCCCCTGCACAACTCAAGGGGTTACAATTAGCATATGATAATGTAAATGGCACCTCCTGAGTTGTGCAGGGCACAGTCCACCCAACCGTACATGGCAGCCCTGACTGGTGCCCTGAGCCATTATCATGATTGTCTAAACATTTTGTTACAGGAGGTACTACTCAGAAGATGAAAGTCATTGAGCTTGGGAGGCAGCACACAGATCTATCACAACATGGGCTCCAGAATCAGACTGCCTGGCTTATACACAGCTTCTGCCATTTAGCAGATGAGTGATCTTAGATAAATTACTAGTACGGCTTCAGTTTTCTTCCCTATAAAGGGAGATAATGCTAGGACTTACCTTCTACTGTTGCTCTGTTGATAAAATAAAGCTAAAAAATAGTTCACTTAATTTTCTGTCCCGTAGTAAGTATTCAGTATATGTTAGCTATTATAAGTGATTCATTTCCTGTGAAGTCACACACGGAGACCTAAGACAAGGTCTTCCATGCTAATTACATCTTGCATTTTTATTTAGCTTTCTCTGGGTGGGATGTGGGGCCAGGCCAGCCAGAGTGGGAGTGCGTTCCATAGGGCCAGAGCTGGCTCATGGGTACTCACCAAGGCTGCAGAGTCCAGAGAGCCAGAGGATCAGGCTGATTCAGGGATGGTGAGGGTTGCCTAAGAATAGATACCAGCAGCAACGGCAAGAGGCAGGACAGAGAGGAGGGCAGGGAAGCCAAGACTGCAGCATCCAGTGGGAAAGACACCGGGGAGAGCAAAGAATGGAGTCCACGGCTCCTGAGCCACCGCTGGGGTGCCCTTGGGATGCTCCCAGCTAACGTGTGGAGACACTGGGTCTGTTGGGCCTCCTCAAATGTCCGCATTAAGGCCGTTTCTTTCCACAATGGTTAGGATTGGCTCCAGCTGTGCGTTTCGAAAACACCTAAAATAACAGTGGCATAGCTGGTATGGTGTCTCAGGCCTGTAATCCCAGCACTTTGGGAGGCCGAGGAGGGGTGAATCACTTGAGGTCAGGAGTTCAAGACCAGCCTGGCCAACATGGTAAAACCTGTCTCTACTAAAAATACAAAAATTAGCCAGGTGTGGTAGCCCACACCTATAAGCCCAGCTACT